TTCCAAGGCATATGAAATTTCTTGGAAGTACCTATTTTCCCTGCATAGTTTCTAAGTAATACTCTATCTCCTACGGTGACTGTGGGATTTCTTACTAATTTGTCATATTGAGTCTTTGCTCTTAACTGTGCTTGCTTATTTGCTTCATCTGCAGCCTCCCAGGCGCATCTAAGTGAAGTGATTAGTCTTTGCTTAAATTCGGAAATGTCTGTAAACGCAACAGGACTGTACACTGACGGGTCTAGTATTTGGTCTACGCAAAAGATAGGATCACGACCAAACATGAGAAAGAATGGCGTTTCACCTGTCGACGTGTGTACCGAAGTGTTATAACAGAAGCATGCGCAGTCTAAAAACTCGTCAAAATCTGGTTGATCCTTACTTATATACTTGGAGAGAATATTATGGAATGTTCTAAAGGATCTTTCAGTCACTGAGTTTCCTTGAGACCAGTGTGGTGTGGCATAGCTTTTATTAATGTATAGCATTGAACAGAAATCCTTAAAGAATTCGCTTGTGAAGGCTGTGGCATTGTCAGTTACTAGTTCTACGCAGCCCCCATATTTTAAATAGCAATTATTGAGAAATGCTTTTGCTAGAGTCATTGCTTTAGTGTCTGGGACTGGTACTGAAATAACGTATTTAGTGAACCAGCAAATTATATTCATTACATGTTTATTGCCATTTTGTGTTAATGGGAATGGTCCTGCTAGATCTAATCCAACTTTGGCAAATAGTGTGTTTACTGGTACCATTTGCATTTCTGCCCTATATGGTGGATTGGGTGAGTGTCTAAGTTGACAAGTTATACAATTTCGTGTCCAGGTTAAAATATCAGCGTGCATTCTTGGCCAATAGTATTTTCTACACTTCTTGAGGGTCTTTTTCAAATTCATGTGTCCACCCCCTAGTTGAGAGGAGTGAAATGAGTCAAAGATTAGAGCCCTGAGTGAAGATGGTACGAATATTCTTGGTTTTAAGTTCGGAAGTTTGTGACATAGTATATCCCCTATAATTCTCAAATTTTCAGCATTTAATACAAATTTCTCCTGATTAGTGGGTGATATGTCTTCTGGAATTTCCCCGGTTTTTATAAATTTAATATAGTCTGCAGCTTCCATGTCATTTTCTTGTTCTTGCTTAATGTCTATCGCATAATTTTCATTTTCTTTCCTAAGTGTTAAAACTGAAGCATAATGTTCATTAATAAGCCCATCTTTTATAGGAAGCGTGAAACAAACTGGGAATTCTGCAATGTCTTCTAGTTCAGTTTGCTCTTCTTCAGGCTGGTTTTGCAATCGCGAAAGTGCATCAGCGAGTAGATTTTCTTTACCAGCTATGTGTACAATTTTAATATTGTAATTTTGCAATTCTATAAGCCAGCGTGCTAAATTTGGACTTGCATCTGCTTTCTTTAGTAGGTAAGCAAGAGGTTTGTGATCAGTGTGTAGTTCTATTTCAGCCATATAAATAAAAGGTCTGAATTGTCTTAAAGAAAATATTATGGCTCCCAGTTCGATTTGGACGGGTGCCCATTTGCGTTCTGAAATTGTTAGAGTCCTGCTACAGTACGCGATTGCTTTATATGTATTATTTTCAATATCTTTTTGCATTAGAGCGCCTCCCTGTCCAGTAAGGGACGCATCGGTGAATATATGGAAAGGTTTTTCGTAATCCGGAAATACAAGAACTGGTTGACTAGTTAAAATTTTCTTGATTTTATCAAATGCTTGCTGTTGTTCGTCACCCCAATGGAATTCGATTTCCTTCCTAGTAAGCTTTGTGAGAGGTTCAACTATTAGCGAAAAGTTTTGAATATGCTTTCTGAAAAATGAAGCCATGCCTATCGCTTGTCTAACTTCTTTAACAGTGGAGGGTGCAGGTAAATTATTTATTGTTTCAACTTTAGCAGTACTGGGAGTGTACCCTTTGGCATTTATTGTGTATCCTAAGAAATTCATCTCCCTTGAGGCAAATATACATTTCTTGGGACTTATTTTTAGAAAATACTTTCTTAATCTGGTAAAGACCTGCCTTAATGCATTTAAATGTTCATCAAAGTTTGGAGATTTTGTAAAGACTAGGAAATCATCTACATATGCTAGAACACACTCATCTAATCCGCTTATTACATGCGCCATTACTCTCGCAAATGCGCTTGTTGCATTCCTTAGCCCAAAAGGCATGTGTGTCATTTGGTATATCTCATCTTCCATTATTACTCCACATTTTCTAGAAGCTCTTTCTGTTAATCTAATCTGTAGGTAACCGCTTGACAAATCTAGTGAAGAATAATAGTTGCAGTTTCCTATTCTTTCCATTATTGACTCTAATCGCGGTAGAGGAAAGTGGTCTGGGACTGTTACCTCGTTAAGCTTTCTAAAGTCAATGCATGGTCTTAGTCCTCCATCTTTCTTTTGTACTAAAACTATATTCGATACCCATGGAGTGTCTGACTTAACCATTACTCCAGATTTTAAAAGTGCTTCAATGTGTTTCTGAAGTTCTTCTCGGTATTTAAATGGAACTCTATGTGGCCTAGACGTTATAGGTTCTTCAGTTGTGGTAATAATGTCGTATTCACCTGCTATACATGACCCTAGATCATATTGTGTTTTACTAAATACATCAGAAAATTCTTCACACAATTTTTCTAATTTTTGTCTATCTTCCCCTTGTACTGAGCTTTTAGAAAAATCTACCTTGAATGTCGGATTTGCTTCTACAGTGTTTACATATTCATTGACATTAATGTTTTCTACCTGTGTTAACCATGGCAGTTCATTAATTGACCAAACCTCATCAGCCAGAGCAATGTGCATTCCTTTACATATGTGCTTTGGTTCAGTTGTTGGGTTGGCAATCAAAATTTTGTTTTCTTTTGCATTTGGTGTGACCACTGCCTCAATGAGTGCAAGATGGTCCTTCTCAAGCCTTTGGTCCAATGAGTGTACAAGTGCCATCTTTTCTCCACCATTAGTTTTGATTTTCACTGAAACAAGTCCGTGTTTTCCTGGTAAAATTGTTTTAGCTTCAATGGCTGCTACACGCATGTTTTTTGACTTTGACTTAATTTTATCTGAATAATTAAATTTATTTTCAAAATTAATTTTTCCTTTATTAAAATCGAATGTTATTGGCGGAAGTCTTTTTAGAATGTCACATCCTATAATTAATTGGTATGTTCTATTTCCTGTAATTTGATTATCTTCTACTACTCTTATAGTTACAGGTAATTTAGTTCCCGCCATTTCTAATAATACTTCAGCTTGAGCTAGTACATTAATTTCATGCCCTGAGGCAGACGTTATACTAATTGTTGCTGGTGTTAGGTTTAGTCCTAAAGTTCTTGCGAGTGAGATGGGAGCAATCGATATGCTCGCACCTGTATCAATTAAACACTTTACTGCTTTGTTATTTATAAACACCCCAGTTATTGTGGGACATGACTGTAGGGTATTTATAGAAAAATTTTGTGATGCCGCGGCATCCATGTCTTCCGACAACTTTTTATCACCCATTTTATTTGCTCTCATGACATTTACTGTGTGACCTTCAATTTCTACCGATTGAGGAAATTTAGAAACCTTTGGGATCCAAGACATTTTCCGTTTTTGTGACCTTACACTTGGAGTTTTGTCTCTTTTAAACTCAGGATTTTTGTTAACTTTTACCATTGGAATCTCTTCTGTGTTTCTGTTAATGCTTGTAGCTCTAGCTCTGTTAATTATATTTCGACTTTGACCAAATAACATATTACCTAATTGTCCTTGCCCTAAATAATTTTCTGCTGCTTTAATTCCCCATCTTATCAACAAATCTAATGTTAGTATGGCGATTAAAATCGATATTATGACCTTCCAAATCCATGTATAGTCCCCAATAATTTCGGTAACGAGACTGTTTCCTGCCTCTTTCCACTGATCAGATAGCGTTTTCACTACACGCATGTCTTTTTGTTCGATGCGATAAGAAATTTCGCTTGAACGGACTAAGTTACTCATGAATGTATGCGTTTTGAGATCCGTGAGATTTACTAGCATTAATTGATGGAATGAATGTGATTTTATTTCAGGTATACTGTAGGATTTGAGTTCCCTTAAATTGATTGGACGGGGTTGAATTTTTCTAAATTCCCCTGAGGTCTGGTTTACTTCTAGTACCTCATGATTTATTTCTACGATTATTTTCCCATATGTTGAACAAGGTGCTTTTCGAGCTGTGGGTTCAATTGTCATGGTTAGCGGGTTAAGAAATGCTAAGTGTTCCCGGTTTTCTGCTTTGACCTGGATTGGGATTAAGTCGAAACATTCGCTAAGATTAGTAGCTTTGAATGAGTACTCATCATTTTTGATTGGTATACATGGCCATACACGCAGTAGTGATGACCCTTCTCGTTTTGCCGTGACATAGTCATTTTCAAATATCATCCTAGCAAGGCCCGTTGGATTGGACAAATATGCAGCAAGTGCCCATTTCTTAACTAGATCCAAATTTTGGCAAAAGGTTTTAAGCGAATGCGTGAAAGTAAATGTTAGAGTGTCAGCCATTTCTTTGTCTAGATATGTTAGCTTCGCTGCCATTTCAGGTGATGTTACTAAACTAAGTTTTGGGTTACTGTGGCTTCTTTTAGAGCGACGCCTAGTGACTGTGGCTAGTCCTTGTTCGGAAATTTCTAGAATATTACTGCAATCCCAAAATTTTGGAGTAGGTTTAGCAAAATGAAGTGCTAATTGTGCGTCATCCGATAACCAGGTGTTATCTAAAAATTTTCCTTCCCAAGTCCCAATCTTAATATATCGACACATTCTATCCTTTGTGGGTTCCCATTTTAGTACAGTATTGTCACTTAATACACAAAGACCCTTCGAATAGGAGCAATTATTACTTTCCCCAAATGAGGTTCCTATACCTTCTTCACCCCAATGGGAATTAATTTGTACACTAAATAATAAGCAATTTTCGGATTTGACCTCGGTCCACCAAAACGATCCTATAAACTACATTTTCGGACTCGCGTCTATTTTATTTGCAGTGGTCCAAAGATCATTTTCTTCAATTAATTTACCTAAACTACATTCTTTATTTTTAATCATTCTCTTACATTCTTGTTCATCTACTGGGAGAATTTCAGAGCCTACAGGTTCATTGATTGGTACATTAGAAAGGGTTGTAAATTTTCTAAGAGTTTTTCTTATTTTTCTACAAGCCCATCCTTGAGTTGTGTACTCAAGATCATTTAGCATATAGACATTTCTAGTTTGTGAAATTGGTACATGAGAAATATTTGGAGAGGGTATTGGACAGTCTGTCATGTCAGGAAGAGACCATAACGTAGACTGTTTTTCAGTTTGACATATCATTGGGTACTGTGGAATTGATAATCTTTCAATTGCCTGCAGCGGTGCTGCTAGCGCTAATACTAGAATTACCATTGGAAGTAGTTTGGGACTTAATTTGAAAGGTTCCCAAGAGACAATCGAAGGTTTTTCCTTCATAACATTTAATTGCTCTTCTTCGGGTTCCTCGTTTATTGGCTTTGTTTCACCATGTAAGAGATTAACATTTTGTGAGGATCCATTATTTTTAGAACTTCCCACCTGCATGTTCCTTAGGGTTGATAATATTTCTTTTAGCATACCACTATCATTGGACATATTTGATGGACCAACATCTGGTTCCCTTCGGCTTTGACCACGTTGTGTTTGAAAGTCTGCAATTCTAGTGCGACATACATTTGCAAAGTGACCAACTTTCGAGCAATAATTACAAATAGGTCTGTTGTTCCATCGGCGATCATTAGTTGGTGTTCGCATTTGTCTTGAATCACGGTAGTTCATGTCTCGACGAGGGTTGTTTTGCCTAAATTCTCCAAAATTATTTCGATTATTTTGAAATTCATTTCTATTTTGACTTTGTCCCCACCTTTGTCCGAGCTTTTGTCTATTTGGATTGGTGGGATTTAGTGATTGGAACTTCCCTGGTACATTAAAGGAGTTTGATTGTTGCATTGCATGCACTTCTTGATTTGGCATGTCAAACATTGATCCAGTGCCTCCAGGTAACATGATTTCGACTTCGCGAAGATCTAAGCATAATTGTTCAAAACCTCTATCTGTCTGTGAAAAGTTTAATAATTTCATACAAAATGCTATGTTAGGTCTTAAACGTTCTAATAAGAGTTCACATAAGTACCGTTCCTTGTTTGGACCAGAAATATCAGCAGCTGTAGCCATTGCCAGAGGTCTAAAGCGTGATAGGAAATCTTTGACTGACTCACCTTCATGTTGGCGGCACATTAAAAGCGCCTGCCTTGAGAGGGCACGTCGTTGTGGAGAGTCCAACTCCTTTCTTATGCTTTGAAGTGCCATTTCACACGTTAATTTTTGAGTTGGAGACAATTCTTCAAAGATTCTTTTGGGTGTGTCCTCCAAAAATAAAGACAAGCGAGCAAGTTTTTCTTCTTCTGAAAGTTTTACCCCAAAGACCTTAATTCTTTCTAAAAATTTCTTTCCCCATTTATCAAATGATATAATGTTATCATCAGAGTATACCTCAAGCGATGGGATACCTTCGTGGTGAAGCATGTTGAGAGTGTGCAATCCTTCATCAGTTGTCATGGGTGGGTGTCTAACTTGTCCATCCACCTGTGATTCATCAGCCCAATTATTGTCATTATTTTCACTAAGATTCGAAATATTTAATTCTGGAATAATAAGAGGCATTAATGTTTGTTGTCCAACCCTAATTTTATTTGGAGAGGCAGACCTCGACTTTCTTTTAGATAATTCAGTAATGTTTTGCTCACAGCTATTTATTTTATCACCCAAAGTGGAGAACCCTTGATTAACCTCCTCAGCTAATTTAGTTAACCCTGTTGAATTTTGGTTTACCTTGCGACTCATGAGTCGAAGAGAGCGGTTTACACCCTCCTCTAAACGTATTGTTTCACCAAATACCTGTTCCAGGTCCTGTATCTTCAGCTGAGCTGTGTTGGATTTACCTATTAGTAGTTTCTTGTCAACTACATTGATTGGCGTTTCCTCCAAACTGGAAGAAGACGAAGAATTTTGTGGTACCTTGGTATCCGCGGGCGTGATGCCCTTGTTGCTTGTGTCTTCATTACCAACCATGAAGACCAATTAATCGTTGCTTTTGTTGCTTTCTGATAGCTTTTAAATTTTATCTGTAATTGATACTTTAATTTAAATAGAAATTTTAAAAAATTCTTAGTGTTAGCCTTGCTAAAAGCTAAAGAGACAACTTGAAAGTGAATCTGTAAATCTTAAAATGACTGCTGTTTACAGCTTACATGAATGTTAAACAAATGTTTAAATGCTTCTTCATTTAAATGTTTAAATAACTGTGAATGCTTATTCATCCCTTTCGGATGTTTACATAAATGTTTAGATGCTTATCCTTTCCTTTAAACATTTTCCCATTAATTTCTTTTTACTTTACACAGAATTTTTCTCAAACAAGATGTTTAGATAAATGTTTAAATGCTTATCCTTTTTCCCATTAATTTCTTTTTACTTTACACTGTTCTTTTCCCAACAAACTTTTCACTTTCTTTTTAAGACTGTGATTGTTTATCTTTACTTCCGCTCTTTTTCTCTTTAAACCTTGGCCTTTCTCTTTTTTTTTTTAATAAGAAGGCTTCTTTTCTCTTTGCTTTAATCACTTTAAACCTTTGACCCCTTCATTTGACGCTTTCCTTTAAACCTTTATACTTTATCCTATTTTTGGAAATCATATCAGACATGGTCATACATTCAAAACGATCGAGGAAATTTTTGGAAGAGGGATAAAAATTAATTGAGTAAGTATTCAAAACAGTAATGGATATTAAAATAATACTAAATAGTAAAAAAAAATTGATGTGTTATTAGTTAATAAAACATTAAAAACTTTAAATTCTGTAACAAATGAATGGTAGTATTATAAAGTAGGCAAATTCGGATACATTTGGAGTAAAAAGGAGAAAACACAGAATTTAAAAATTTTTAAAGAAAATAGAGTTAAAAAAAATTTTTTTTTGATTGAAAGAAGGAGTTAGGACTTATATACCCCATTCAAACATTTTTGGTTGGCCTTTAAAATTTAAGAGATTTCTATTAAACCCAGTTTTCTAAAATTTGGATAGTTACTGAGAGGGGATTTTATTTCGATAATCCCAGATTTCATAGTTAATGTCACTAAACATTTATAATTGTATTTTTCCGGTCATTTTACCAATAAAATAATATCCAATAAATTAATGAAGAGAAAAGGCACGCAAAATAAAATAAATTTTCTATTATTTTAATGAAAAATTGTAAAGGGAATTGTAGATTTTTTTAATGGAAAAGTTGTAGATTTTAATAGAAAAATTGTAAAATGTTTATTTGAAAGGAATTAAGATTAAAACCAATGAATTCAACAAAGACCAAAATCTATTAAACCCAGTTTTCTAGAAATTGGATAACCACTGAGGGGGAATTTTGTTTCGAAATACCCCCAATTTCATAGTTAATGTCACTAAACATTTATATTTATGTTTTTCCCGTTAATTTTACTTATCAACTGATCTCCATTAAACCATTAAGAGAGGAAGAGGGCACCCAAGCAAAATAAAATAAATTTGCTTTTAATGGAAAGATTGAAAAGGGAAACAAGATTACCGCGTATATTTAAAATACTTTAAAAATTTTAACTTAAAATAGGAATTCTAACTGAGTCAGATTTGGGAAAGTAAAATAATTATTTGAAGTCTTTTTAGTAGAGAAACAGAAAGTGAATAATTGATTCATTAATTGTATTAGTAAAAATATAAATATTTTTTTTAAGTAAAGTGTAAGGAATATAGAAGAATTTAAAGAAAATACCGATTAAATCAAATGACTTTACCAATAAAAGAAAAAATTTTCTTTTGCTGCAAAATGGTTTAAATGCTCTAGAGAAAGTAAGAGCTTAGTGGGAAAGAGAAGAGTAATTTTAAAAGTAATAAAATAAAGAGAAACTTTCACACAGACAAAAATTTTATTTTTAATTTTCAGTCTTTACTCTTTTTGTTAAAAAAAATTAAAATGGGGAGAGAGACACTGTTGATTTCGAAGCGAAAAATAATAAATTATATGTGAGTAACATTATACAATTTTTTGAAGGAAAAATGTAAATGATGAAAGGCTGTCTGTAACCTTCTTTTTTTTTTTTAAATGAATCATGTCTGTGTTTTGAAAAATTTTTGAAAAATCTTTTTTTTTGAAGAATTATAATTTTTGAAGAATTATATATATATTATTTTTTTTGTTGAAGAACAATAAAAAAAATTTTTTTTTGAAGAGTTTATTGCTGAATCGGAAAACATTTTGATTGTTTTAAAAGATATTTTTTTTGAAAAAATTTGCTGAGATTTTTTGAAGAAAATTTTTGGTGTTAAAAAAAGATTAGAAGAATTTTTGTTGTTGAATTTTTTTTAAAAGAAAAATTGAAGTATTTTTTTGTTAAAGTAAGAAATTTTTGTATATATATTTTTATATACATTATTATTTTTTTGTAGGCCCGTGGGCCTCATGCCACTATGGCAGCTTTTCTTCCTCCATTCCGCACCTCACCTGGATCTCCCTCCCCACCGCCATGGCCAGTGGCGGGGGGAAGTGGGACGGTGCTACCAGTAAAGCTTGTGCTGGGCCAGGATGGTGTTGGGATGTTGGGCGGGTTGCGTGCGATGTTAAGGTCCCGAGAGGCGATGCCGATGAGTATATTGCGGAGCGGAGGGTAGGCCTTTCTATGCGCCGGTGCTGCTGGTCGATTACGAGATCGACTTGCCCGGGAATAATATGCGCTTGCAAGGAATTAATAATATAAGCTTTTAGCTTCTTCTGCAGGATATTCTTTCTTTACATTGATTACTTTCCAACTGACTGGTGAACAGTCGACTGATCCCGTTTTCACTATTTTCCACTAGCTTTTATCTTACGGCCTTATTTGTCAATCTCCACCCCTTATTTAATCCTTTCCCAGAGGAACTAAAGTTCCTTTTCTCCATCCTTGCCCATCCGGATCAAAGTCCGCCTTACAATTATTATTAGTACTAATAAATCCTCGTTCAATTTGTTCATGAGTAACTTTAATTTGTTTGCCTTTGCTCGTTTTTTCTATTCCAATTGCTTAAAATATAAATTAGAAATAATCATAATTAAAATATTTTTAAATCGAAATAGTTTTTAGACAGAAATTATGATATTTAATTAACCATCCACCACTCGAAAATTAATACGATTTTTTTAATAAAGTCGAGAGTAACTTTAAAACTAAGAAATTGGAATAATATTCAGTACGAATTAATCCTATAACGGAAACGAATTTTATTTTTTTATAATCTTACATTGATTGGTATTATTTAAAATATTATTATTTTCTGATGTTTCTTTGGCTAAGATTAGAACACTAGTGTCCTCTTTTTTATTACTTGATTTTCTATATTTTTCCAATTCCAATTCAATTTCTCTTACAT